TCTGCAGTATTAGACTATAAAATAGATAAACATGAGGCTTCAACTGATTACTTTCAAATTTGGTCTAATTCACTTTATAAAGAAACAAATTTTTAAGCAGAAATACTCCACGAATCCTTGTTTCCAGAAAAACAATAAGATAAAAATCTATTAAGTAAAGAAATTACCACTGACATTAACATTACTAAAAAGATAATCAATAAAAATATCAAATTGTCAGCTACACTTAACATGATGGTTTTGATTATCATCAGTAGGAGGGCATGCCAGGATTTCATACAAAGTCAAGAAACTTGATTCAATTAATGTCTGGGCCCCCTCAACTGAAGAAACTGTAACCCAGAGATGCTAAATAATTTTTTCAAGGTCACACACACACACATACTTAATTGCAAACCAGACCAGACCCTTGGTTTCGCAACTCATATAGGAGTCTAATATCACTCTTTCCCTGCATCCTATGAGGTCATTTGTGTATTTGATAGCCCACATTCTGAAAACCTTGATTGTTTCTTATGTACCTGGGATACTGGCTCTTTTTGGCATGAAACATGATTGAAATTAGAGTGCTCTCATTTCAAAATAATAACAAACCAAAGAAAACTAAGACAAGGCATTTCCGACTTACTCCCAGTATTCTCAATCCATTTTGAGGGCCTTTACAGAGGACCATAAACTTAACTATATGAATCTCAAAGTTTGTCCAAATAAAACAAAGTAATGTCTAGGTCACAGTGGACAGTCACAAATCAAAAAGTATGATCTATTTTCTTAATTATGATTGAAGAGACATACAAATCAGAAGCAGCTGAAAACCCCTATTCATTATATTAGTTCCGATGCGAAAATTCAATGGCATTTCTTTACCATGAAGCATCATCTACACTCCCCAAACATGGACAAACCATTATCTCAGGAAGAACACTAAGCCATTTAAATTGGAAATAGAAGAACACCCACTGTCTAAAGTGCAATGCTCACCATACATACAAAAGTGGCTACCACAGAGTATGTACTCAGCAATTATTTCCAGAATGAATTATGGAAAGAGATATATTTTTTCAACCCACCTCCAATTATAAATATCATGCATTGCAGATAATGTTTGTAGTCTTAAAATCACAAATAAAATAATTTCCTGTCACACTCAGGAAAGAGTCTAAGAAAACTGACTTTAATTTCAAAATGTTTTCAGTTCATAACCCATACCTGACTAACAAGGATATTTTTAACTTTATGTTTCATCTATAAGTTGTCATTAAGTGCCTACAGATTCTCCTAAAAAGATTTTTCAAATATAATAACAGTCTTTTGAAAATCTTTCATAGGGTCTTCCTTAGGTGAATAAACTAAACAGGTTAACAAAAGTCTGGCTTTGGCTGTCATAAACCTCATTTGTTTAATTAAAACAAATGTTTATATTACATAGTCATTTAAAATAATGAAAGAAGTACAAAATGCAGTGAATAAACCAACCTTAAAGTACACATGCCAAGCTACCTTCATCTTTTGAAAGCAGAATGATAAAAACAAGAGGTATAGCAGCTTTTATTACTCATGTAAGAAAAATTATTAGATACATAGTAAGCCACTTTTATTAAGCAATATCCTTGCATAAGAATGCTAATAATAAACAAAGGATTAAATGATACCAATGGGCAAATGATAAAGGTTGGCAGTATTGAAATACATACTAGGCATTGTAAAGGAGCTTCAAATTATACTAGCTCTTAGCCCAAGAACCAAACTACACACCAGTATGTTGTCAATTACCAGAGTTATAGGTTTGCTAAAAAAGTAAACATGACACTAATGTGTCTCCGGACTTATGTTAAATATTAAGCATTTTTCAACTCCTTGAACCAATGGGGATAAAAAGAACTAGCAGGACCCTTGTAGGTTAACCAACCAAGAGTTGGTTTCTTTTGATATTGGTCGTGTTACAGAAAACAACTCAGCCGCTTTCGGGTGTACGAAGTGGAAGTTTATTTTCACGCGAGCGGAACCAGAGGAGTCAATCTCCAAATTCTGGGCCCCAATCAGTGGGGAGTAATGGCTTATATAGGGTGATGGGGGCAGTCTGGACCCTTACTTCTGGCTCCAAAGCAGGAAGCAGCTTACAGAAGCAAGAAAGTGGAACTGCTGATAGGAGTTAATACGAATTTCTTTGTTCTTACTCCTCAGGTACTTAGTTACTTGCTCTCCCTGATCCTGTTGCCTCACTGGCTAGCTCCCCTCCTGGGCAGGCCACCACAGCTGGTACCGATATCTTTATTACTGAATAATTCATATACTTATGAATAAACATATTATTATACAAAACATTTTAGTAGCTTTGAGAAAATTATACTTAGTGGAACAATAAAACTACACTGAAATACACATTTCTAGATACAAAGAGACACTTTAATAAGTCCATCAATGATTTATTTTCTTTAATGGATGGAGAGGGGATTAAATAGATAAAAAGATACTTTTATTATAGCTTGAAAATTCTCATTTCATTAATGAACCAAAGGAAATTTTGGAAGAGTTGCTAGAAACGAGTACAATGAGTCATTTCTGTGTTATGGCACAGAAAAAAACATCTGCAGATCTTATCATTATTGCACTGTGTTGTAGACCGCTCTGCCTGGTTTTAGGAATTGTATCTCTACCCCTTGTGGCTAAGGGTGAGGGACAACCCTTGGAATGCCAGCCACAGGAGACAAAGCCTGTCTGTGGTAGCAAACCCTGACTCAGTTTCCTCTCCCTGCCCCTAAAACTTGGTCGGAAGTCAATGACGGGAAAGACCCCTCACAGCGGAGGGCGACCTAAGCCAGACTCCATTACTTGGGAAGCCTTCATGGAAGGACTGGGCCGGTGGGGGGGGGGGTCGGCTGCAACAAAGAGCAATGGACTCCCCCCCCCCTCCACGCCGGGCTTTGACATAGCCTGAGTCCCCATGTTCTCTGGGAGAAGCACTTTCTGGCTCTAATCCCCTTAAGCCTGAATACCCGATGGGGAGAAGTGCAGCTCTTTGCCTTGCTAGAGCATGTCCTGGGGAAAAATCTGGCATCACAAAGACTTCCTGATAAACCTGTGAAATCTGCTCTGCTAAGAGTGCTTTCATTTTTATGTTTAGGGTTCGAGCAGGAAACCCTAAAACTCTGTTCCTGACACACACTGACTTATAGTAAGCCCTCAGATTTCTTTGAAATGTTATCTACTGTTTGATCCTTGCCACCCTGTATGCCTGTGTATTAGAACCCAATAAAAGGCTATGGAGGTGGGGGCTCAAGGCCTTTTTCTCCTCGGAGAAACTGGCCGCTGCTGGCCTTTGTCTCCCCTGAGAAACTGGCCACAGCTCACTTCTCCTCCCCAAATAGATCACCTCATGACTCGTCCATATTCACTCTTGTCCATGGTACATGGTGGGGCTTTCGAGAAGTCACCCCCACGGCACTGTATTAAAACATTTGTTTTTCATTTTCATCTGGCATTTAAAGCCTACAAAAATGCAGATGAAAGCAGGGGATTTTAAACACATTAAAAATAGCTTTAAAAAATCTCCACAAACAGCTTTGGAAATATTTATCAAGCAATTTGTATAACTCAGAAATTAAAAACTAAATAGCTTATGTATTAACAACTTAAAGATATTTTAAATACTTTTGAAAACAACTTTTTAATTTTCTTATAACCCTCAGAGAATTGAATCGGAATCTATTCACACTGAAAGAGACCTTAACCACCAGAAGTTCAAGTGACTTACCTAGGTTTCATGCTTCTGTTTTCTTTCTCCAACACCATAAAAGGAATTCAGAAATCAGCAAATAATAATAGTAACAATAATAACAAATATAAGTATTTAATCACCAAATCCAGTAGGAAATTATTCACTACTGATGGGAATATAGTCATGGGAATTCACTGAGTCAGCAAATATATAGGCTGCAAGATTAATGAATTGTCTTATTGCATAAACCATTACAAAACTAAATTTCATATGAACTTCCCTTTTCCACAAGATTTTTAATCATTGTCCCAGCCCTTTAAAACCCCTGTATCCTCTTCTGAAAATAATAAAGCATTAAGAATTATTTTGGTCCTGGGTGGGTAGCTCAGTTGGTTGGAGGGTCCTTCGTGCATCAAAGGGTTGTGGGTTCAATCCCCAGTCAGGGCACATATCCGGGCAGCAGGTTTGATCACTACCACAAGGCAACCAATCAATCTTGTCACATCAATGTCTGTCTATCTGTCTTTTTGTCTCTCTCTCTCAAATCGATGAAACACATCCTCAGGTAAGGACTAAAAAAACAAAAGAATGACTTTGGAAATGGGGTAACAATACTATTGGAAAAAAACAGAAACATGGTTCTTATAAAAGTTACACACAAGAAACATTTTGGTCCATGTAAACTTGACTATTTCTTTGAATTCTTGTGTGAATAATGTGCATTATTAGTAGACCTAATAAATAACCAATTCAAACTTTGTAGATGATAAATCTAAAACCATGAATATACACTAATATATATTTCAAAAGACAACACACAGCTTAGCAATGCACACAACTGATAAATACTTTATATGTTTGAGATATCATATTAAGCTCTCTAGATTAAAAAATCCCTCAGAAAATGTTTATACTTGATGCAGTTCCCATTTCACACAGTAGAATTTTATCATACATATGATATTGATCCAGTTATTTAAGGATTCAAAGTTATTTTTATTTATTTTGTTACATTCTTTTTTCCTCAAAAAAGAACTGAAGTACAAAATCCTTTCTTGTTTGCATCTCAAAAAACATGAAAAAAACTGACAAAGTTAATAAACCCCAAAAATGAACTATCCAACTCTTTCACCAATGATTTTGTAATGAAAGCTTTACAAAAAAAGAGGAGCTCAACAGAATATACATTCTATATAAATCAATGAAGATGCAGACTCTTAATCCAATCAACTCAGAGTCTGTTTCAATTGTGAAAAGACCATAAGCTTTAAAAAATAAAAAATTAATACAGGCTAGTTGAATTTTTATGAGGAAAGAAAGAAATACTGAAGAATGACATCTGAAGATGAAGAAAAAGAGAACTGCTCAAAATATTGCATAAGGTCATTGTAGGATTTATTTGCTGTCCCTCAAAAAACTGCAGAAGCTTCCTATTCCCTACCCACACTGCACCATGCTCTTCAGGTTTCTGTTTTAAGGCATATCCAGAGCAGGCATTGGAGGATTTCCAAGATTGTTAAAATAACTTTTTATAGACCCTACATTAGTTTCTACACTGAAGTTCATTCTGTCATTAGATTTGCTTCAACCAGCACTTGATTACCCATGTTTACCATCCTTTCTATAATGATCTTCAGTCTTCAAGGCTGGCAGATAAACTCTAACATCACAGGCTTGATCTCTAGGCTCTGGGAAATGTTCCCCAGCCCTTCTGGAAAGCACCCCCACAGGCAGATCCCACCTGTGGGCAACAGCAGCTGCAGAGCCACCAGCCAAATGAGGCAGGGACAATGTCTGTTGGTGGCTGCAGCTTCGGGCATTCCCTGTGCTTCTCATTGCTCTGAACAAATGTGCAGATGCCAGCTCTAAATAAACCTTTTTTAATTCTTCTGAAGCACCTTCCATGAGAAACCGGTGGAAAAAGTCTCCCCACCTAACCTCACACCACACCCTGGCCTTGTGCATGACCCTGGAATGAGTAGTCCCAAAACAGTTTGTCTTGGCTCACATGAAGCACACAGACCTTCTCCAGTTTTGATCTGGTGCCAATGACATGGACAAAGAGTTTTATAAAATCCTTGCCAGTGACCTTGGCATAAAACTTCATGATGCCATGAGGGTAGCAGCCAGAGCACAAAGGCGGACCCCACATACCATAGGCCCTTCATTCCACATACCACCCCTCTACATCCCACCCAGCAGAGGTAGTACTCAGATATGCAAGATCCCTGACAAAGGCTACAGGAAACTGTGGATCTGGGGCCTCTAAATACACTGCTTCCATTCTCATCTTCAACTTTCCTCCACCTCCTCACCTAAGGAGTAACCTCTAAAAAAGAGCTTCAGTGTCTCCACTCTGATTATAAAAAGAATAAGCATTACATCACAGAAGCTTCTAAATATTTTAAATTATATGAACTAAAATAAAATCATCATTCATATAACCGCTTTTGACCTCATCGGTATATACACTGTCTTCATCAATCAGAATATACATGTAGATATTTACACGTGCTTTATAATATTGTAGCATGCTAAATAAACATACTGCAACCTGATTTTCACACATAAACTATATGATGAACATTTTTCCATGTTGGTAAATACAAATCTGCTTAGTATTTCATTGCATGGTTGTATAATCAATGACATTTAGGTTATTTCCAATATTTTTGCTATTATAAACATGACAATAAACATTTTTCTAGAAAACATTTTTGCTCATTTACCCAGTTATTCCATTACATTACATTTAAATAGAAATTGCAGGTTAAATGAGGCACATTTAAGGTCCTAGCATGTATTACCAAACTAGCCTGAAGAAATGCTTTACTAACACATAGTCTCACCAGCAACACTGGGTATTAGCAATCTGTTCAATTTGTAAAGCAACCTGATAGGCAAAAGAAAATAAATGGTTTCAACTTACATTGTATATGAATTCCATTTTCACTACCTTTGCATCTTTTTATCAAGTTTTTTTCCCTTGATTTTAAGATATCTTATTAGAGAACATTAACCCTCTGTCCATTATGAACACTGTCAGTATCATCACAGGTTTATCACTTGTTTTTTCACGTTGTTTATAGTTGGTTTCTCTTTGTCCTTAGGAAATTTTGAGTCTTTTAATGTCAAAAGTATTGATCATTTCTCCTCTAGTTCTAGAATCATGCTTTCAAAGTCATGTTTCTCATACTTTCATGCTATCTCTTTTATCCATTTAATTACTAAACTGATTTGGAATTTATTTTGGAGTCCTCAAGAGCTAGTTGACCGAAATACCATTTCACTGATCAATCCACTGTTCTGAATAGCCACTTTTATCATTGACAAAAATTCTCATTTCATGTCTGTCTTTGGACCATCTGTGTTTTGTCCCACTGATCCATTTTGTACCTATAACATAATAATTTCTATATTATAATTAAATATCTGATAGGACAATCAACCTTTAACAAGTTATCTTAGTACAGATGGTACAGATGAACCTTATTTTTATCATGTTCTAAAATTAATTATATTAGAATTTTAATAGGGATTATTATCACCATCCTATCAATACTATACCTAACACTTCTTTGTTTACTGCTATTAACTAGAATGTATGTTCCACAAAAGAAGGAGTTTTTGTCTGCTCCAAACACTGTTGTACACCTAGAATTTAGAACAGTTATACCTGGCATATAACTGAAGCTCAACATGTATTTTTGTTCAATGAACAAATACATTAATTACATTGAATTTACTGGTAATTTAAGAACACTAAAGGTATCAGTGTGAAGAGGAGGCAAGAACAACCCCTGGACCAGCCACAGCCCACACACTGCTGCATCCCCACACCCAGCTCCTACGTCCCGCCACAGTCACCATCATGCCCAACAGAAAGGCTGAAGGGGATGCTAAAGGAGATAAAGCCACGGTGAAGGATGAACCACAGAGAAGATCCACCACATTATCTGCTACACCTGTTCCTCCAAAGCCAGAGCCCAAGCCCAGCAAGGCCCCTGCAAAGAAGGGGGAGAAGGTACCAAAGGGAAAAAGGGAAAGTTGATGCTGGCAAGGATGGGAATGACCCTGCAGAAAATAGGGATGCCAAAACAGACCAGGCACAGAAAGCTGAAGGTGCTGGAGATGCCAAGTGAAGTATGTACATTTATTATAACTGGGTTTTTCTGGTGGGTGTACAGTTTTAAATACTATTTTTATCAAGTTTTATAAAAATGTAGAATTTTGCTCTACTTTTTTTAAGCGATGTTGTTAGCACACAGAACACTTCATTGTTGTTTCTGGGGGAAGGATATATAGTACTAAAAGAATGGTTCCAAAGCTGGACTGACATGGGCAAAATTACAACTTTTCCTTGTAATTTTGAAACTTCCTCTTGGTTCCTGGGAGGAGGGATCCCTTGATGTTGACACACATCAGCCACCTTGGCACAAACACCTTGTGGTGTGGGAAAACTAAAATTCATTTTTAAGTCCTTTTCTCCCTCACCACTTTAAGCATAAATTCCCTTAAGCCCAGAGACCTGTTGGGACCTGACGTAAAAAAATTGGTTACCAGTGTGTTGGGCAATCTGGACTTTCCAGTGTTGCCATCGAGATGCTCAAAAAAGCAGCAGTTCCCTTTTTAGATCATAGATCTACAGACTGATAATTCTGCCATTTTCATTTCATTTCCTGAAAGTCAGAGTTGGTTTGTGAAAAGTTGTTAAACAACATGCCTAATATGAAATGTCAACCCTCACTCTAAACTTTCCCTGTTCAGAACATCAAATGAAAACTTCATTGGGTTTTATAATGGCTTTCTAATTTTGGTAGTACATTGAAGAAGGGCATTTGAATGTTGTTGTAGACTGTTAATGACTGTCTGCCCATGTCCTGCCTGAAATACCATGATTGTTGACTAAACTTTATCTTTAATAAAGCTGGATACAGTTTTGCTTGGGATAAAAAAACACTTAAAATACCTACAACTTGGGAGCCTTTCAGTCAAGATGGCAGAGTAGGTAAACACTGTGCTCACCTTCTCCCAAAACTATTTCAAAATTACACCTAAATAATAAAACCACCATCACTGAGAACTACCCAAAGATTAGCTGAACAGAACATAACTAAGGATATAAAAAAAAGCCATGTGGAGACTAGTTGGAGGAGCAGGGATGCAAAATGAGCAAGTCCCCTACCAAGGTGTTCCAATTAAGAATAGAGGGAAATCTCAGCTATGGAGATACTTCTGAAGAGCAAGGGGTCACAGCCCCACATGGAGCTCCCCAACCTGGGCAGTGCCAGGAAGAGGAGTCCCTGTAACATCTGGTTGTGAAAAGCAGTGGGAATTGCATCCAGGTGAGATGAAGGGCTTCTGGAGATCCAGGAATTCCTCCTCAGGGGCTTGCACATAGATTTGTTCATTCCCATACTCATACTGTATTCAAATGCAAGAGAAGCAGCTTGAAAAGCACCAGGAACAGACAGGGAGGAACTAAAATTGAGTAGTTTCTTGGCAAGAGCTGGCGGAACAGGGGTCAGGGCAACTCTCTCCTGAATGGAAGTGCTAGTAGGTGCCATTGTTCTTTTGTTGAGGTCTTCTTCTACCCAACCAGCCTGATGCAGGTGGCTGCCAAATCACAGATCACCATTAATTTGGCTAATACCATTTGCCCTGCCCTGGTGATTCCTAGACCCTGCTCCACCCAACTTGCACGCCTGGCCCAATTCTTCCAGCAGCTTTTACACACAAGCAGTCTACTTAGGCTCTAGCTGTGGAGTTTCCTAAAATCACTCAAAGGTCAACAAACCACAAACAGCAACTTAGCTGAAACACTGTGCACATCTTAATAAGCAGTTCCAAACCCTACACATGTGATAACGCATCTCTACTTGCATTATCACTTTCATCAGGTTTTCCCAAGTCACACATAAGCAGCAGCCAGTTTGGGTTTGGAACCTAGGTTAAACTAAGTGGGCACAAGCCCAGCAAAAGTGGTTACTGGCCTCAGGTCACACTGTGGTGCCCACCAAGAGGTCCCAACACTGCCATCAGTGGCAGCCAACACCTTCACTTTGCAGTACATCCAAAATGAGTACAAGTGGCAACCAATCACTGATCACTTTGTACCTCCTACAAGGCAGTCCCTAATTGGGCACAAACAACGACTGCCAATACATCTGGTAGTCAGCTTTAGACAACATCAGAGCAAAATCAACCAGCTCCACAATGACACACCGAAAGGACAGACTCAGCTGACACAAGAGCAATTCTAGATCGACTCCTGCACATGGGGGTCAGCCCTCACACACACACAGACCGGTCATCTACTAGTAATGACAAACAGTCAGTCAGTCCAACAGTCAATCTCACCTACTAATGTGCCAAAGCAATAAAGGCTCAACACCAACAGGAGGGCACACACAACCCAACAATGGACAATCCTGGAGAGAAGGCACCATTGGGCCCCACCAGAAACCTACTACATAAGGCCACTCTGCCAAGACTGGGAGTCACAGCAGATCTATCTAATATGTAGAAATAAACACAGTGAGTCACACCAAATGAAAACAACAGCAACAAAAAACATGTCCCAAACAAAAGAATAGGGCAAAACTCCAGAAAAATAACTACACAAAATGGAGAGAAGCAACCTACCAGATACAGAGGCAAAACCCTGGTTATAACGATGCTCAATAAACTTAGCAGAAGAACAGACGAACTCAGTGAGAACTTCAACAAAGAGAAAGAAAACATGAAAAAGGAGACAGGAAATGTAAGAAAGAATGAGTCAGAAATGAAGACTACAATAACTAAAATGATGAATACATTAGAGGAAATCCACAGATTAGATAAAACAGATGATTCAATTAGTGAAATAGAAGACAAGACAGCAAAACACAATCAAAATGGCAAAAAAAAAAAAAAAGAATTTAAAAAAAGGAGGGCATTTAAGGGACTTCAGGAACAACATCAAGCATACCAATATTCACATCATAGGGATACCAAAAGAAGAGAAAAGGATTGAAAACCTATTTGAAGAAATAATGACAGAAAACTTCCCTAACCTAAAGAAGGAAATAAACATACAAGTCCAAGAAGTACAAAAAATCCTAGAAA